TCACAGCACCACCACCTACAGCAGCAGCACTCCAACCATACCCGAGGAAATGCTAAAGACCCAAAATATCAGGTCCAGGAGCACTTCACGACAGCGCCCCGCGGTCATGTACTCACCGATGCCCTACAGATCGCAGCGTTCGCGCCAGCCATCGCATCCAACCTCGTCTGAAGAGCGAATGGATGACGCCAGGGCGATTCGCAGGAATGATTCATTCAGGAACGATTCATTAAGCGAGGCAGGACATCAATCTATCGAGCGTAGAGGGTCAGACGCTGAAAGCTTGATTGACCCGAATCCTCTCCCCATCAGCACAAGGGGATCCCTTGCCGACCCCGGGGTGCCAGTAACTCCTAATCCAGAGCCCCCGCTACCAACAAAAGAGCAGCAGCAGCAGCAACAGCCAGGGCTCGAGCTCGCTCGCCGCAACACGGGCCATAGCTTGTCCGATGGTATAGATAATGGTTTGATTCCAGTAGACTCCTCGGTGCCCGGAGCTCATCTAGCGAATCTACCACCGCAAGATCTGTCCATCGACAACTTCAGTTCGTTTTATGTGCAGAAGCAATTCTGCGCTGGAGCCACAGACGTTATAAATGGAGGAATTGGTGTCAAGAGACAAAAGAAGCCTGTTAGTGTACTCCCCTCTGTTTCTTTTACACGGCATTACTGAATTCAGTCATCTAGGGCCTCACCACAGCCGTGGTTGCTAAATGCACGCATTGTCTGTATGAACTCGACTTTAAGCACCTGCAGTATGATATCAGTAAGAAAGGTATGTCTGCCACGGACTGTGATATCTCTAGATACAAAGGAGGGAAATTCCAAGTTCAAATATCTAACCCGGTTGTCTAGACGAGGGTAACTACACCAAGCATGGCATTGGATACCGCCTCCGTTTCTTGCAAAAGAGCCACTTGCAAGCCAAGCGCGTTGACGATATCATGTATGCCTGCGTCTTTTGCATCCACACCAGTCGAACACTGGACCAGAGCGACGCCACGGTCTTCACGTCTACAGCGGCATTGTTTGCTCACTTGGCCCGGCATCCCCGGCCACTTCCAGATGTCCCTGGTATCGCTGTTGTGGACCAAGAGGAGATCCCACCGCATCTGGCCAACGATTACGACCTTGTCTTCAAGAGCTCTCCCGAACCTCACCCCGTGCAAGAAAGAGCTGCCGAGATTGCTCATCTCCCCACGGCACATGCAAAGGAATCAGCTCGAAGACTTTTTGGCCAGAGACTGCTGCCTGACAGAACACCGGCCTTGGAGCTGATTCAAGGAGCCAAGATTACGGGCTTGACTTGGCCGGCTCGATATGGCGGCGAGTGGGCTTTCGGCTGGCACGACGGTGTGCACGCGTCGATTCCCATGGAAATTCTAAAGCTGGACCGGCCCCCCTTTAGCCAAATCAAGAGAAACAACACGAGCCGCATCCGTGCCAAGGCTAAGTGGAAGTTTGCTCCAAAGGAAAAGAACGAGGACTGGCTCAAGCTTGACAAGGACGAAATCATCACCAACATTACTTGTAAGTCATACACTTCTAACATTAGGCGCAAGAGAGAAGAAGAATAGGATGGCTAACAGGCGGCCAGGGTCATATCCCGAGTATTGGTGCTGGGCTGGTACAAACTCAAAGGGCAAATGGGGAGTCTTCCCCCAGGCGTTCCTCGACTCAAACTCGCTGCAAGAGATTACGTCGACCATCGGCTCAGACCGCTCTAGTATTCTCAGCAGCGAGAAGAACAAGTCGAACACGATGCTCCCCAAGTTTTCCACCCGGAGCAAGAATGGACGGCCGCCGAGCGTCGCCGGATCGACAAGCAGTGGGGAAACACGATCGGTATTTGGAAACTCAAGGAGCCTTGGACGATCGCGAGAGGATTACTGAAACAGGAATATAGGTATATTGAGTGTGGTGCATGTGTGAATATGGGCACCAATGGGATTTCTAATATCACAGCGGGCGTTGACGGGGAGCCCTGGCTTGCAAACTTTGCCTGAGAATGTCTCAACTTTGTGGTGTATCTATCTGTAAAATTCACATTTGGGAAATCTTGGGAACTTTTGGGTGAGCCGGGCAAATCTGTTTTCTTTCTTTTCTTTTTCCTTTCTTTTTCCTTCTCTTTTCTCCTTTCTTTCTCTTTCTGTCCTTCTTCGCTCTGCATTAGATAGAGAGAAGCGAGACGTCATCAACAGACGCCATGGGAGGACAATGTCGGAGACGACTTTTTGGGCTGCGGATCATGGGTAATATGTTGCGAGATATTGGAAATGTACACAAACTGGTCGCACTTGGAAAAAAAAATATAACAAACTAAATCTAGCCAATCCTGTCCTGCGCCTGAGATGATACGATAAAGGTTGTCCTTTCGTCATTGCTCGGCAACGAACAGAATTTGTATCATGATGCTAGACTAAATGAAGAGTCCAGGTCCGAAGACACACCGTGCTGTGGTGTTTGACTTTTTTTCCCCCATCGCCGATAGTAATTCGTTTTACGAGAAAAGTCCGCCCGGGGTTGCAGAAGGAATAATTACGCGACATGAACGAGCTTCCATTGGCGAATTGGCAATATCCACGCCTTGAAGGTTTTAATTTAGCAGAAAATGCCACGCCTTGAAGGTTTTTAATTTAGCAACGAATAGCCTTTCATCGTCGCTCTTATCAATGCACAAAAAAAACTCTGAATACATTGTGACGAGATAACGAGCGGGAAGAGTTGATTGGCAAGACAGGGGAGCTGTTGTTGAAATGAAAGGATGCAGGCGTCAATGGCCCCCCCCCGGAACAGCTAAGCAGGCCCTTGTTTCTTGTCTGTTTCTGGGTACGAGGGGACGAGGGGCCGGGGGGTGGTTGTTCAAAAGAGTGAAATGGAAGCTAAATTTAGGCAACTCCGGGAATTTTTCTTTTAAGCGCTCCAGGGGAATTTTCTTCTTCAGGTGGCTGATCTGGGGCTCTGTGGGATTGGCTTGGGCTGGGGTAGTGCGTGTGTCGGCTACGGAGGTAATGAATCGGTTACGGTTGTAAGATGAGTTCAATATCGTGAAAGTGGTCAAATCTTTGTCGAGCGATATGGGTAATTTGGCTTTGAGCTTCTTTGGAAATGTCCATGGGAAGCGGCTTGCATGTGAACAATGACGAGAGAATTGTGTTGCGTCTGAGCATTGGTGGCACCGCAGAATAAAGCAGTCATTTGGTTACACATTGTGACTCCGGGTTGTTGGTCCGGAGGTTGAACAAAGAGAATACATGTACATAGTCTGTGTGTTACTCTTCTCGTGTTTAATGCTGTTATTTCCTCTCGTGTTCAATGCTGTTAGTATTTCCTCTTGTGTCGCCTTGGCCATGCTCTTCTTTATTATGCAGTGTCATTCACACAGAGGGGCTTTGTTGCGCAAGGCACACAGATACACACGTGCCTCAACACACGTTTCATTGAATGGCTCTGCTTTGCTTTCACTCTGCATCGTCCACTCTTACAAATACGAGATTGTCGCGTGATGGGGAAACAAAGTTGCATTTCCTTGTTTTTTTTTTGTCAAGACAAGAGGGCGCTGGGGTGAACGGAACGCCATGTGCCGTCTGTATTTGAGATGAATGCCGTATCGCAATGCCACCATGTAAGCCGTAGTAGAGTTTGAACATGAAAGCGAAAAGAAAGCCCCGGGTGAACAGCATCCAAGACAAAGGGCAGAGTAAAATGACAACATTCACTGTCTTTCCTCATTCAACGTTTGTACATGCCTTGGCCATCACAGCTCCCAGGCTGAGACACATCAGCTTGCACCGCACACCGCTCTGGATTGTACGCCTCGGAGATGAAAGTCAGACATTCAGAACCGAGCATAACAAGGGAGGACCGTGTGTGAGTGAGTGAGGGGGCATGCGGAGAGAGATGGAACCCGCTGTCTCGTGGCTCTTTTTCTTTTTCTTTTTGGGGGTTGTATCACTGCCGGCGAGATGCGAGATGCCGGCACAATCTGTGAGGCCGCGTGCGTGGAGTGGAAGAGAAGAGGCAACTGAGCTGGTGACGCAGAATATCGAGATGTGACAGAGCATGTACTCGTTTGGGATGTCGATACAACCTTATTTACAAAGTGCTGCCTTGTACGGGATCATCAAGCAGGAATATTCCATCTACCTTATTACCTAGCAGTAGTACTAACCTATCTGGAGATGGATGATTGTATGTTGGAAGAGAAAAAACTCAATTCGTTCATCACTTGTGTCATTATTAGTGTGACATCATAGACTAAGCACATGCTTGTGAAAAGCAAAGCAGGCACGGTGGTCGTGATTCCCTCACCAAGACTGCCTCAAGTCTATGCTGTTCAGGTATTACAAGGCAAGACAGCAACATCCTTTGTAGCTTCCTCATTGAGGCAAGCCACCCTAGTCTTCTTTTTCCCTCTTCTTTGTTTTTTTATCATTATTTTATTTTCCCCTCTTCCACAACACATCTCGTGAACAATATTCTACCACCTCCGATCCTCCTCCCATCGTCGCAAAAATGTGGTGCACCGTGCGAGACACTGATCCTCGTGATGAATTCCCAAAGAAGCATCGGTGTCCATCATCTGCCCCTCGCCTCGCATACATACTTTTGCACCAAGTGCTACCGTTAAATCCCAAGCCTCGTCCGCTTCGTCCCAACTTAAACATGCGAAATAGCCCGCAGCTCATCGCCCTGATTTGAACCTACGCGCCGGCCGGAGCTAACTAACGCTGTCCAACACTCTCGGAACGAGGGAGAGAGAGACACACCGAAAATAGAAGAGAACAATCCAGTCCAATTGTGCCACCGCTTGAAAGCCTCGCATTAGTCCCTGGAAGCGCTTTGTTGTAATCATCCAAGACTTCTTGGCGAAAGGCCCCGCGTGGTCTCATACTGACTGTACAAGAACAACAACAACAACAACAACAACACTAGCAAAAAGACGGACGGACGAAGCACAAAGGTCCGGCGCGCAAACACACAAAAGCATCGTTCACACAATGGCCCCCCGTAACGCCACTCCCGATGCTGCGGCGTGGCTCGGCCGCTGCGAAGCCGCCATCGGTCTGGACGCCACTTTGCCTGCCTCGCCGGGCCCTGAATCCTGTGTACCCCTGACGCCGACCCAGCAAATGACAACCGCTGGCGCTGGCAGAGGCGGCCAAGCCTGCTTGTATGCCGACGATTGATGAAGGGGCACATGGTGAAGCCCGAACCCATTGCTGCTTGCTAACCAGTTTCATGCTCTAGTCAAGCCGCTGGCTACCAGTCCGAAAAGAATCGCGGCAGCCCTGCCGAGCCGCCGAGCTATCACCATCCAGGATCCAAATCCGGACCCCTGTCCCCTGGCCCTTCATATGCCAGTCCCAAGCTTTGTCCGGACCCGCCACGGAGCTTCTCCCTCGCGTCCCTGATTCACAAGCTTTGCTTGCTCTTCGTGTTGCTGTCCGTTGCATTGTTAGTCTCCGGTTTATTAACTTTATTAACTACTCGTGGCCCCGATTTCGATGCAGCTCTTCCTGATGTCTCGGTATCTTCTTTCTTTCTTTTCCCATTTCACCCCCTTCCGCTCATTTGTTTTTATAGACGCAGCTCCCGGCTTCCCAGCTGGATCGATTTGCCTTTTATTCCCACCGCAACATTCTTTACATCATGGCACTTCCAAGCTGGATCTGGAAGCACGCTCTTGCCTACTCGGCCGTACTTTCGTCACTCGTTAACCCTTCACACGCCGCTCCTTCTACTTCTCTCTCTGCTACAAACTATGTCGCCAACTCCGTCACTGCTATTCGGGAGATGAACAATGCCTTTTATGATGTCGAGACTGGTCTCTGGAGCTCTGCCTGGTGGAACAGCGCCAATGCTTTCACCACGTTGGCCGACTTTGCCCAGCTCCGTCTCAATGAGGCAAACCAGCTCAACGTTGGCGGCTTTCTGCGCAACACTTATGCCCAGGCTCAGATCACAAGCGTCTCCGTCGCCAAGTTTGTGAATGCTGCCGGTCTTCCCCAAACTCTTCACTGCATCAACGGCAGGGGATGCTCTGCCTCCTTTGCGGCCTCTTTGCCCACCAGTCTCCAGAAGCGAGGCTTTGCCGACTTCCTCGATGACTTTTACGACGACGAGGGGTGGTGGGCTCTCGCCCTGATTCACGCTCACGACGCCACCGGCGATCAGGACTATCTCGATTCGGCTATTGAAGTCTTCAACGACATGCAGACCGGTCAAGGAACTCCCTGTGGTGGGGGCATTTACTGGAGCAAGGACCGCACTTACGTCAACGCCATCGCCAACGAGCTGTACCTCTCTGTTGCCGCCTCCCTTGCCAACCGGGTGCCATCCAACGGCACCTACCTTCAGATTGCCAAGGCTCAGTGGCAGTGGTTCCAGCAGAGCGGCATGATCAATTCCAACAACCTCATCAATGACGGTCTCGACTCCAACTGTAAGAACAACGGCCTGACCACCTGGTCTTACAACCAGGGTGTTATCCTCGGTGGTCTCAGCGAGCTCGCCAGGGCTACCGGTGACAGCTCTCTTCTCACCAAGGCTTCCGCCATTGCCAACGCCGCCATCAACGCCCTCTCCAACGCAGACGGCATCCTCGTCGAGGCCGACAAGTGCGAGCTCAACCCGGGCAACTGCGGCACAGACGGTCAACAGTTCAAGGGTGCCTTCATCCGCAACCTGCGATACCTCAATGACCTGGCACCAAGCACCACCTTCAAAAACTTCATCCTCCGCAATGCTCAGTCCATTTGGAACAACGACCGCAACAGCCAAAACATGCTTGGCGTCGCCTGGACTGGGCCCTATGTGGCGGCTACTGGCTCGTCCCACAGCAGTGCTCTGGATGCCCTAGTGGCCGCGATTGCTGTTTCATAGTTTCACCTTGATTCCCCCGTCTTGGCAATTTGATAATCATTTTTTTTACTTCCCCCTTTCTCTCTCATCGTTTGCTGCTTTTGAATTGGGCCGTCTGGTGACGACAACATTTCAGGAGTGCGACTCCTTACTCAGGTCACAGCCGAGCCAGGCGTTTGCTGTGTGGGCTTGGAGTTTTTATTTCTCTAATTCTGCGCGACGGGGCACGCAACCATTTTGGGCATCATTAATGATAAATCATAATGTTGTGAAACATTCCTTCTACTTTTTTTTTCCCTCTCCCCCTTCGCTTGAGACGGTGCCTTAATATGGGGCACATGGCAAATGCCCCTGTCACATTGTCGTGTTTCATAATGGACAGTGGCAAGGTCATGATTCGCCAGTGATAGCTAAGCAATTTTATCATTTTGCCAAGCTTTATGCGACCGAGAGAAAAAAAATGTGTGAGCCGAAATGTCTCTAGCTGCTGAAATCTTGGAATACGAGCTTCCGCGAGCATCGAAATCTAATAGGCGAGGATGACAAGTACAGCATAGAGTGAGCGCCGTAGATGGATAAAAGGGCGCAGAAACCGGAAAAGCATGTCGATTTGGCGATACGATATAGATTCGATCTAGTGTTAATCATGTTAATCATACTTTACATCAAACGCTCCATCTACGCATTTGTCAAAACCTTAAAAAATTAATTGACATCCATGTATCTCCGTGTTGCAAGATGGCGATCTAGACTAGAAGCTGCTAATTACCAAGGAACGCATGTTCCTTTAAGTCCGCAGACAGATTGACATTCCCGAGGCAATATGCACCATGTCAGGCAGCAAGCAGTACCAAGTACGTGCAGCACTCAGTCAGAGACTACCCTACAGCACACAGTGAGACGCACCGTATGCATACTGTAGATTTACCGTATTAGATTGCAACTTGACAAGATGCACGCGATACTTGATGTGAGCCTGATATTCAGGCAGCCGTCAAACGGTCACTGGCGGTCCTCGAGACAAACTCACAACCACGAAATCTCATCTGTAAGCCAGTGTGGTTTTATTCAGCTGCCTGGCCGCAACGACAAAACATCGTCACCGCCTCCGGCTGCGCTCATAAAGTGGTGCCTAACGTCCCTCTTTTCCCCTTATCCTCTTTGATGTAAAAGGGATGCTCAGCCCGACTCGTTGTTAAAGATATTGGGCGATAGCAATCGCTGCTTCTTTTCACAATGGATGCCTCTGAGAATGACATCGACGTGTATCTGCACAAGCATTCCAAGATTCTGCTCGATGAGTTGGATCAGAGCCTGGTGACTTGTCTGCGGAAGCCGGACGGCCGGGGGGGGACGCGCATACGGCGATGGGTGCGGATCAGGGAGACTTTGAAGGCTACTTGTGCTGTGAGTTTCTGAATGAGACGGAGAGAGAGTGTGTGTGCTGACGAGAGGCTTTGTCTTTCTAGGTCTTGGATCAGTTTCAAGAGCTGCCTCAGCTGCTGGATCCGTATCTGCCCAAATGGATTCCCTTCTTGGCAGAGTCATATCTGGAGTATTTGCAGACGCGGCATCGGCAGAAGAGGGTTCCGGAGGAGACAAACCTGCTGGCTCCCTTGGACTATGCGATTTCTAGGATCCTCTATGCGTTCTGCAAGGTCCGCGGCGAAAAGGTCATTGTGCGCTTTCTCAACGTCGAGACCAAGTATCTGGAGCTCATCCTTTCGGCTGTCGAAGAAGCTGAAGCTCATACCGGCAAGGAAAAGAAGGATATCTTTGCTGAACGAGATTCTAATGAAGGATGGACCTGGGAACAGCGTTATATTGCGCTGCTCTGGCTTTCCCACCTTTTGTTTGCGCCATTTGACTTGTCGACCATTTCCTCTGCCGACCTAGATGAAGAGGGCGTGCCGTCCATTGCCGGGTTTACCTGGCCTGCGAATGTACCGGGTCTTACGATGAGAGTGATTCCTCTGGCTACAAAGTACATTGCTTCTGCGGGCAAAGAACGAGATGCTGCTAAAGCTCTGCTTGTGAGGCTCGCCATGCGGCGAGATATGCAGCAGATTGGTATTCTGGAGAGCCTCGTGCAGTGGTCGTTGAAATCGCTACGGCCACAAAAGGAGACTGAGATTGAGAACCCGTATTTTTACATTGGTGTTCTCTCTTTTCTGGCTGGAATACTGCGGTCTGCATCGGAGACGTCTGACATGGACGCCTATTTGCCTACCATTTTCGAATCCGTGCTCCAACTATCGACTGGCGAAGATGCCATCTCCAAAATCATCATGTCTCAGGCATCAGCACGGAAGATGATGCTGAAAGTCATCCGTTCCCTGGTTGTTTCGCTGTTGCGTTCCTCCCGACGAGATATGAAGACCACGGTCTTGGTAGAGAATGCAATTGGCTACTTCCTCGAGAGCCTCTCCGACAACGACACTCCGGTTCGTTTGTCTGCTAGCAAGTCGCTTAGCATCATCACATTGAAATTGGACCCAGACATGGCATCCCAGGTCGTCGAAGCTGTCCTTGAATCCTTGAACCGCAATGTGCTTTGGAGCAAGACGTCAGCCAAGACAGGGGCTAAACCGGTCCGCGACTTGTCTGCCGTGAATCCCTTGGAGTGGCATGGCTTGATGATGACCTTGTCGCACTTGCTCTATCGGCGATCTCCGCCAGCCAGCCAGCTCTCCGACATCTTTCACTCTCTTCTCCTGGGATTGACATTTGAGCAGCGCGGTGTTTCTGGAGCCAGCGTGGGATCAAACGTTCGCGACGCCGCGTGCTTTGGCATCTGGGCGCTTGCTCGCCGATACACAACTGACGAGCTCCTCGCCGTGTCCACAAAGTCTGTCTACGCGGCCAAATCCCACCCCGCAACGAGCTCCATTCTTCAAGTCTTGGGGACAGAGCTAGTAACAACGGCGTCCCTGGACCCGGAAGGAAACATTAGGCGCGGAGCTTCAGCTGCGCTGCAGGAACTCATTGGTCGACATCCAGATACCGTGGAACATGGCATTGGAGTCGTCCAGTGTGTCGATTACCACGCCGTGGCCCGGAGATCGCGCGCCGTTCAGGAGGTTGCTACTGGGGCAACAAAGCTATCATCGCAGTACGGAGAGGCTGTGATTGATGGCATCTTGAGCTGGCGGGGAATAGGCGACTTGGATACGGGCTCGAGACGAGCTGCTGGCTCTGCGTTTGGCGCGCTTATAGTACAGCTGTCCGACACGGCCTCGGAAATGCCATTTTCTCGCTTTGAAGAGTCGATCGACTTGGTGATGGATCGCCTGAGCACTTTGCAAAAAAGACAGGTGGAAGAACGACACGGTTTGCTAGCATGCTTTGCCGGAGTCGTGGACGGCATTCCTGAACTCGCTCGAAAAGCCCAGGGGAAGCTGCTCGATCAAGCTATTGTCCGCAAGATACTGGGCTATATATCTGGAATTCTTGAAGATTGCAAGAACAATGAGTATCGTCGGCCTGAGCTTATTGTGGAGGCAGCGAGTCGCTTGGTTGTTTCTTCTTTGCCTCTTATTCAGGCTGCAACGCTGAGTGGTTTTTCTTACGATAAGTTAGAAAAGGGAGGCGACGTATTATCTATGGAGAAAACGAATGGGCTGCCAGACATTGCCTCGGCCTTTGTCTCGGCACAGCAGTTTGATGGGATGGAGACGTTGACCTCAAGGCTGCGAGATGTGATGCCAAATTGGCTTAATAGAAACGAGCAAGAAACTGCCGACTCTGCTTCCGCAGCCGGCCTCGTGCTTCTTTTGCTCTCTTCACCGGAAGAGCGCATCAAGATTTTGGAGCAGTGGGCCAAGTTCATCGCAGCCAAGCCTGGAAGCCGATCGATGGTTACTGGAAATGGCTACTTTCATGTCATGGCAATGGCACAACCTCTCTCTCATGCTCTACAAGATAATGGGAGCGACGTCGTGTGCAATGCGTTCCTTGAGCGGTGGAGCGTCGATAGTGAGGTTGAGACTAGGGTTGCCATTCTGCACAGTCTTTTGAGCAGCCGCATTCTCAAGGACAGACCGACAGTTTTCCTGGACCTTCTTGCAGAGGGCCTCAACGACTATACGACGACGGCTAGAGGCGACGAGGGTTCCTTGGTGCGTTTCCAGACGCTCAAAGCCATTGCAGTTCTCTGGGGAGATATTGGCCATCCTACGACCCGGGCAGACTGGGTAGAGGCGTCTGTTCGGAAGCTTATTTACAACATTTTGCGGCTCTCTGCGGAGAAACTGGATCGTGTCCGTCGTGTAGCCAAGGATGTTGTTGCGCTGCTCATGAGTGAGAGGTGGGTTTCTTTCTTGCCCCTATTAGTGGAGTGACTGGTGAGGTATCAAGTACTAATTCGTGTTTTCTCCTTTAGTTCCGTTGATGAATCCAAGGACTCGAATCAGCCGTCAAGAAGGACTTACTTTACGAAATACCTGAGTTTCTCATCAAAGGGATACTTTGCTCTACTGCTTAACCTCATCCCCAAGGACGCTCTACACCCGCACATCATGGCCATTGTAAACAGCGACGAGAACTGGATGGCCGGTCTCATGGCCGGTTTCGTCTCATCAGCAGACACCGGAAACGAAGAGCTGGTCATTGCGAGCCGCGCCGCGCTCACAGAGTATTGCGAGGAATCGCCCGAAAACTTGCAACGAGTATGCTCCGCGCTATTACAAAACCTAAAGACATGCCAGAGCGAAGACCGAATCATTGTGCCGACTCTGGAGATTACCGCGTTTCTCTTCTACGCGGGGCTCTTCCAGCGCTCCCAGGGCATCAGCTACCGCGGCCTCTGTCTGCAGACGCAAAAGGCGGGATACAAGACGGGCAACGTGCGCAAGGTGATTGCTTGCATCAAAGTGTACGGCGGGATTGCCGCGTCAGTCGGGACGGCGAATGGCGGAGTGAATGTGGAGGCTGGAGCCAAGGATGCGCGGAAGAGACTCGGTGCGCTCATGTCGCATCCGTGGCCGCGGGTTCGCAGTGCTGTGGTTGATGAGATTTGGGGGCTTGTGGGCGGCGAGGAGGCGGTTGGAGTTGCTGAGGGAGAGGATGGACAAGGAGAAGCAGAAGTAGATGGGCATGGGTTGACGGGTGTGGATTGGGCGAGTGCGGAGAAGAGCCAGATCAAGGCTTTGGTGGCGGAGCTGAAGTTGGAATAGACTTGCTGTGGTGCTGTTGCTGGTGGTTTACGAGGTGTTTAAGAAGAGATACTGTTGTTGATAGAGTCCGAGAAGAGGAGGTTGTCATGGATACAAGATGGCGTCTTTGTTATGGATTCTGTTGGCATAGACAGATAGACGGGGCCTCTTTGAGTGAAACAAAGAATTAGAGCCTATTCTACAGTCCAAGCATAAAATATAAGCCTGTGTAACGGAACATTGATAACAATCGAACCGGTAAAGCTGTCTGAATGAAGAGGTAGCATTTATCGCCACCTTGATAACTAGGCCCGGTGGTTATGCTCCTAACCACAAAATGTGGCGATGGTCAAGACAACTCAACATGACTGTGAGTAACCAGACGATGACGATGATGTCACTTTCAACTCAGCAATCAACCATCAATTTCATTCCTCTTGATCAATTCCTACAGACACTGAGAAGTCATTTGTACTTGTACGCGATGGAACCCAAAAGTGAAGCGGCCGAAAAGCATGAAAGCAACAGGGAAACACATCTCCGCGATATATACGGAATCGTGCCCAATCGAGCTCAACTGCTCGACCACCAGCTAGATGTATAACCACCTCAAATTTCCCTTGATCATATCTGGATCAAGCTGATTTTGAATAAAGAAGAGAACCTTTTTTGATTCTGGGGATTTCGCATTGGAGAAGGCCCGTAAACCTTCTAGCATGGGGAGCGTCACGACTGGAAGCCAACATCCGTGCCGCGAGGGCATATCTCATCCGTTTTGTCCGGAGGCTGGGCTGATGAGTCTTCGCGAGAGGACTAATTCGAGGGAGGGAGGGAGCGAGACGAAGTGTAAGAGTCATCTCTGTGAAGAGCAAAGCGGTGATGGGATCCGATATGAGATGGGCGCTGTGAAAGTTGCTTCGAATGAGAAGGGATTTTGAGGGGCATCTTTGAAAGATTGACAATGAGAGCGTTTGCGTTTGTTGTGGTTGTGTGCTCTTGATAGCTGCGCTGTCGTCAATAGTTGATAACAAGCTGTGTGGACCTTGGTAATCATCGTAGTTGGACTATTGATGTGTTCCGTTATTATTAACATCTTTCTCTATTGTTGCCAACAGTATCCCATCATCGAACCAAGAAGATGCCTCAAACACGCAAGGCAGCACAAAAGGCTCAGGCCAAAAACAACGCCAGCGCCGCCACCCAAACTGAGCAGGTCGCACAGGTCCAACGTCTTCGACCTGTTGCCATCACTCATGCTGACCATGATGGAATGTCCAAGAAACACTCCTTCGGGTACTGACACAGAAGAGTCACCGTCTATTTAGATTCAACATCTATTTGGACTTGGCATCTACACAGATTCAACATCTGTCTGATCTAAACATTTACACAGATTCAACATGTATCCAGACTCATCATCTGCCTGGATTCAACGTCTATCCAAAGTCACTATCTACTTGGATTCAACATCTATCTAGAGTCATCATCTATTATATTCAACATCTATTCAGATTCATCATCTACACAACATCTTCAGCCACCTTCTACCTATATCTCTACAAATATTCGACTGGTAATAACTGCCCCTCGAAATCACACTTTTATGGCTTATTGGCGCCTCTCTAACAGCTCTTTCCCTAGTGACTCTTCTGACAATGGCGAACGAATACCCGTATCCGAAGCCTGCCGAATTAACTTTTGATGATATCACCATCAGCACCACCCATGACTCCTACCAAGTCGCTGTTCAAGTTGTTGATTACTATCATCAACAAGCCATATTGATGACTCAAGAGGAGCAAGAAACTCACATCAAAGTAGTCCGCCAGTCTGATTACGTATCAAGTCCAAGCAACCGCCGAACACCAAGCAATAATAAGATATGGAAGTATCTCAGGCAAGGCAATCCATGTTGCCGTGCCCATTTCGTCATGTTGACCGCCATTTATGGCATCGCTAGACATCGTTGAAGGCGCCGGAGATGTATTCGAGATGATGGATTACTCCAGCCATTATGATCATTATCATCACCCATTGACACAATCAACAACTGTGGAAGAGCCCGCGTCTACTGGCGCTACGCCTATGAATCAGCCAACAGCGCCCAATGCCGCACTGGGTGGTCATGATACTTCGTTGGCCGATGATACCTCGTTGGAACAACCAGTCTCTCTTTTGCCTCCCGCGGCGGCCCTTACAATCCTTAATCTGTCCCCGCTGTCCCGTCGCCTGAAGCTCGCCAACGGAAATCCCCTTTCTTGTCATCGCCACCTACCATTGCATTAGTCTTTCCGTCTGTTGAAGCACCAGTCGAGCCAAATTCGGCGTCAGTCCAACCAACCATTGGTCTTCGGGCTACAACTCCCATTTCTATTCGTTCAACAACTCCCGAACCGCAGCCGAGGAGTCCAACCTACTCTCCTCGGCTCAACCCTACCCCCAACGACAATCAAGGTCGATATTCGCCTTCTATTGAAATCGCAGCTTTAAGAGAGAGAGAGCCAGAACTTTAGAAGATGAAAAGGCTGGACTTTTGCTGATAATTCCTGAGCTTACCTACGCTCTCAATCATACATCATCTCCAACGACCGTAATCTTCTGGCTTCACCCCTGCCCCCTGACAACATGGGACTTTATATGATAGCAACTACAGAAAGCCTGCCATTCGACTACTTGCTTGTCCGCACAGAGAACGAGACACTGTCAGTTCACTGAGGGCGTCTGGACGACTGGGCCTGTACTAACATAAACCAGCCTTATTGGCAAACACACCTGCAAACTCCGCACATGCTCAGAAGAAGAACAATAAGAGTCTGCGCAAACAGCCTCGTATAATATATATCAGCAAGTGAAGCGTAAATCCGGGCATCAAAACTTCTCTCTCTCTCACAAGACTACTAAATAAGGGACGTAGAATGAGCAATTCTGCTGAAACCATTGAGTGGCTGGATTTAAATGCAAGCAAGCAAGCTGTATGACTGGGCTCTGAGTTGTGATGAAGATGGAGAGAAAACAACCAAGGAGAGGGTAAAGAGCAGAAGCAACTAATGCAATGTGGTTACATGACACAGTTGATGACCAACTTATCATCAGCTTTCCATATCATTCAGATTCCAAGACTCGATGCTTTGCCAAAGTCTTCGGATGGGGTTAGCCATTCAGCATTCTAGCGACTGCGTGAAGTTTGAGCTTTAAAACCGAATATGAATAGGACTTTTATTTAATACTGCTGACATTTGCCAAAGTAGCCATTGAATAAGCACTTGGTTCTTTTTAAAAACATCTGCTCCTGTTACTACTTTCTGCTATTATACCTACACCTCTAGTATCTCCTACTATGGCTGTATGTTTCTATAGTATCTACTACTATAGCCATGTTCGTCGAGTATTCGGTGTTATTTGCAACACGGGATGCTGGAGAGCAACATTGGGACGCTGAATACTGTAGGCATTTCCTTTGAAAGGGACCAATTATCGGGCACCCAATATACGGGGTATCGTGAGGTTTGCCGTCCACCATTATCTCGGAGATAATTGATGATACATGGTCTTTGGATGAGGTATTATGGAGGAGCTAAAGTCCTCTTTTGACATTCTGAGTTTCGAAAGAGTCTCGGCCTTGAGTTGGACGTTTCTCCAAAAGAGTTAGGTATGGTAATCCGGAGTTATGCTCATTCATTCGGCTTAACAGAGCATGGAGTATTCCACTCTTGCGATTTGACAGCAACGCTTGCCGGCGGATCCAATGCTGTGGCATTTCCTCCTGAGCTGAGAGCCGGGGCTGGTACGCGAGCTGAACAGCACCCCGTATTCTTTACATAATTGGATCGACTGAGCTGAACGAATGAATCGTGATCAACAGCGCTTGCTGGCTCGCCTTGCCGGCTAGAAACAGCCATCTCTCTACCCCAGACGTTCACCTCGCGGCTAGAAGGAAAGCCGCCTTCTAGCCTGGAACAACTTCAAACCGCCACGGTCAAATAAAGTTTCCCGCCACCACCAAGTCATCACCAAGTCATCACAAAGTCAAAAAGTCATAGGGAAGATGGCGCAATTGCTCAAACGACTCATGCGGCGAGGCCTCACTAGGTGGCAACGTGTCAGTCGCAAACTCCTAATTTAACGCCACCTATCATAGAAGACGTCTGGCCTACTTCTAGGCAAAAGTAAAATTGCTTCTGTTCCGAAGGGGCTTAGAACTTGCGACGCTCTCCTCGAACTCTTTGGGCGAGTGCTAGGCGGTACAGGAGGAGTACAGGCATATACGTCGCGATGAAATTTGATGCTAGTAGTAGTACGAGTGGTGAACAATGCATGTCCCTGGACCATAGATTTACCGCTTCAGGGGCTCGCTCGATGAAAGCGTGGCGTACCCGTGCCTGTGGTCTGGGATTAGTCGATCCAATAGTTTGTCGTTCCGTTCACGAAGCGATGCAGGGTGGTGATTTTCCAGGCAGCAAACACGTGGAGCGAAACCCTTGGTGGCAACGTGCCTTGACCCCAGGATGTTGTTGGCAATGTTGCTAGGATAGCTCCTTTGTTGCAGGGATTGGACCTTGGGGAATTTTGCTGCCATCTTTCGGCAGCCCGCATCCGGCAGCCCTCTCAAGACGTTGAAAATGGCGTTATCCGTTGTATATCGCAAGATATATGACCACATGTCCGGACCGGCAGGATACTGTAAACACATGGGGAGCTCGTAGTCATTCCTTGGTGCGACAGCGAGATTCGTTTAGGCCAGAGATTCAAGCAAGGCAATGCGCATCGCCCGATGCGGAAAACAGTGTTATCGCTCGCACGAACCCTGCTTGCAGGATGATGGTGAGAAGCTTATGTTCTAGGCACCCACAGAATTGAAACGAAAGCTGCAGCCAGTCGACCCTTGAGTCAAACTTGAAGCATCGTACCATGTTTGCCGCTTCTCTCAAACTTGCATTCTTTCACGTGGCTGATCACAAACAACCGCAGTCTGCATTCTTGCCACGCGGTTGAGAGCCCAGCTACAGCTAGCAAGCATGGGC